CACCTGGAGGGTCTGGGTGCCTGAGGTGGAACAAAGCACCAGCCGGGAGCAGTTCGGATATCCTCGGCCACAGCTCCGACTGCTGGCACCTCAGGCAACTTCTTCCAACTTCAAAGTGGTGGGAACCGTTGCTCTTTTCAAAGAATGGTATATCAACCGCTCCACGCATCACCAGACCAGCTCGAATGCTCTGCGTTACACGAGCCGTTTGCTTTCTGTTCTAGACCAACTCCCGAGTCATGCTGGGGCTCCATCCGAGAATTTCTCCATTCCTGCAGCGTGTTCAGCGACCAATCCTATGCTTCTCCTCGTGAAGCGGTACGTTCCGCCAGGGTCCAACACCCAATCCCCGGACCCGCAGTTCCCCAGTCGGGGCTAGCGCCGAACTGTGGCCTCGGCCTTCAACCCCGTCTGGGGTTCGGGGGAGCCTCTCCACCCGGTCTTCGTTCCTCCTTTTCCCGAGCTTTTTTCTTTTCTCCTTCTCTTATTTTGCCTCTTTTCTGTCGCGCCTCGCCCAACCACCTGTTCATGGGTCGTTAGTCTCGGCGTTCTTCCGTGACAGGCTTGACATTGTATCCCTACTACGGATACTGCACTGCCCTAGCGCGCGTGGCCTAATGTTTGAACAGTTTGGACTTGCGGCAACACGATCTTGATCTCACTACGCCGCATCCGTCACGGTCTAAACTTGCTCCAGAGTAGCGTACCGGGCTTTTTTGCCGGGCATCGTGCCGGGCACTGCATCGGCCTGCCGCCGCCACCATCCCTCTGTTGGTTCGACATGCCTTGGCTGACGCTGCTCATCATCCAAACCGGAAACCGGCGCGTCGCATGTACATACATCTTGAGCTGGGCTTCCCCTCACCAGCAGCCCATCTCGGGTCTCTCGTGCTGCCTTGCATCAAGAGCCGACATGGATAACCACACGAATCACACGTCGCATTGTAATTTCTGCCACGCTAAGGTTGGGTCTTCTCCGATACCTGGGGTAGAAATCCAGGCGAGATGGGGTAACCATGAGGAGGCAAAGCTGTGCGGAGGAGATCCGTCTTTCAAAGTTGGCGCCGTTTTTACAAAGATTAGCGATTGAACTGCTAGTAACGACTTGCAAGCGCAAGAACGGATCATATCATAACCTTTCCTCTTGAGCCCCGTCAAGTCGCCGCAAGACTCCGCTAGAATATCGTCCACGTGCCGCGGCTCCGTGTTCCCCGTGTAAACCAACCCATTGCTTGGTTGTCTCTCGCCATGTGGGGAACACCACCAACGTTAACCCCATATCCAAAGCTGGGACTGGGGGCCGAGTGTACGGTGTGTGGGAGCACCGCAAGATGGGGAAACTCATGTAACGGTAGTTCGAGGATGGATACCGACCCGTTGGTTGGGCCAGCGTTGACAAGCGTCCCTGTCTGTTGACCCCATGCCTTGGCCAGATTTTCGCTTTCCTCTTTAAAAGAATCGGCCCATCCCGTGCATCTATCTCGCGCGCGTCTGCTTACTCCCCAGTTGCCACTCTCGAACAAAACAGCAGAAAACGAGCACGCTGCGGTTCAGTTGCCCAATCCCGGAGCCACAATGGCAAAACTCGAAGACGAATTCAAGGGCCAGGCGGTGGTCGAACACGACAATGAGCCACCCGCGTACGATGAAAAGGCCGCCGTCGGCGAAGTGAAGGAGATTAATGCCGCCTCCGTCGCGTTGGCTGCCGCCATGGCGGAGCAGCAAGTGAATTGGTGGTCGCCCAACATGATCAAGTTGTACGGCATCATGGCGATCGGCTATCTTGTAAGACTTTCTGAACCTACAATGTTGGTTGAGATGAGCTAATGAATATGCTATCCATCAGGTGTCGACCATGAACGGCTTTGGTGAGTTTACACACCACGCAGTAGAACAGATGTATGTTCATCAGCTAACGATATTTCTCAAGACTCGTCCCTCATGGGAGCGATCAACGCAATGCCGCCCTACCAAGAGACCTTCGGACTGTCGAGCGCCGGTTCCACAACTGGTATCGTCTTCATGATCTACCAAGTCGGCCAAATTTGCAGTTTCCCATTTTGCGGCATGATCGCAGATGGCTGGGGTCGAAGATGGTGCATCTTCATCGGCTGCTTCATCGTTCTCATTGGCACAGCTATCCAAGCACCTGCCCAACACCTGGGACAGTTTGTGGCAGGACGATTTGTCCTCGGCTTTGGGGCTTCTCGTATGTCGTCCTTATCACGAGCAATCATGCGAACTCGAATCTCTAACACTGCGTAGTCGCCTCTGCTGCTGGACCTGCTTACGTCGTCGAGCTGGCGCATCCTTCCGCCCGTGGAACCATGGCTGGTCTTTACAACAACTTTTGGTGGCTTGGGAACATCCTAGCCGGTTGGACTACTGTAAGTATCACGACCTTACATATGGGCGGCCAAACACCTCTGACTGACAATGGCAGTACGGTGCGAACCACCACATCAAGACAAGCTGGGCGTGGCGAATCCCCACCGTCGTCCAGGCCGCTATGCCTGGAGTAGTCATGATATTCATCATGTTCTTCCCCGAAAGTCCTCGATGGCTCATCTCAAAGGATCGCGCAGAGGAGGCACTCGCCATCCTGGCCAAGTACCACGGTGACGGCGACGTCAACTCCCCCGTCGTGCAGCTTCAGTACCGCGAAATCATTGAGGATCACCACTCGACCACCGACGAGAATCCTTGGTGGCAGATGAAGGAGCTCTTCAACACCAAGGCCCGCCGATACAGACTCTTCATGGTCATTGCAATGGCTTTCATTGGCCAGTGGTCGTAAGTAACGCCCTTTAGCAGCGAACTTGACAGCGTTCGACCATTTAATTGACCATGCTCTCATCACAGCGGAAACAACGTCGTATCGTACTTCATGCCCGAGATGTTTAAGCAAGCCGGCATCACCGATGACAACACCCAACTCCTCCTCAACGCCATCAACCCAATCTTCTCCATGATCGCCGCCATCTGGGGCGCGACCCTCCTCGACAAGCTCGGTCGCCGCTTCATGATGCTGGCTGGCTTGGCCGGCTCGCTCGCCTCATACATCATGCTCACAGCCTTCACCGCCGAGTCGGCCAACCACAAGAACCTCTCGTACGGCGTCATCGTCTCCATCTACGTCTTTGGCATCTGCTTCGCCTGGGGTTTCACGCCGCTTCAGACGCTGTATGCTGTCGAGTGTCTCGAGAACCGCACCCGCGCCAAGGGATCCGGACTTTCCTTCTTGTTCCTCAATGTCGCTATTATGATCAATACCTACGGCATCTCCGTCGGTATGGAGAAGATTGCGTGGAAGTTGTACCTTGTGTACATCGCCTGGATTGTAAGTTCATACCAATACCTTTTGACATTGCTTGTTGCGGTTGCTAATGACTTTTAGTGCATTGAAATGGCAATCATTTACTTCTTCTTCGTTGAAACGGCTGGAAAGACGCTGGAAGAGCTCAAGTCCATCTTTGAGGCGCCCAACCCGAGGAAAGAGTCAACCAAGAAGACAAAGGTTGCCGTTGACGAGGCTGGTAATGTCATCAACGTCGGTGCGACCACCTCTGGTATCTAATTGACAATGGGTGCTCCCGCTGGTGTTTCGGCCTTGAGCACCATGCGTGATACATACAGCGTGATGATTATGGGAAGAAATGAGGAAGAAAAGACATGAGAGACGAGATAATGGAAGGAAAGACGAGATAGCGCAAAGCGTTTGGACACTGAGTTGCTTGTCGACCCAGGTACTTATGCTCGACGCTTCTTCCACGATACCCCTACTTTAATTATATAACAATTACTGCCCTTACCGCACCTCTGGTGGCTTCTTGAAATGCGTTTGGAGACTCTGTCGCACCATTCGATTCCCTCTTGAGAAAATGACTCTCGTCACTGCATTCGCTCCGTACCAGACTTGGTATGAATGTTACACCGAGCCATGCCACCCCACCACCGCGCATTCCCGACGGGGCTCCGCCAATCGAATGACCCCATTCCCGCCGTCTGGGCGAACTACCCTCGTCGTTCTTCCCAATTCATCTCTTCCCAACTCAGCCATCTACCGCTTCCCGCTTCTGGCCAGGTCCCATGCTCTCCACATTGCGCCCATGGGGAAAGCAGATCCTCTTGGAGTCGAATCTTGGGACTGGGCCCATCCGTCTTGCAGTCTGCAGACCCCCATCACCAAGGAACCAGATAAGTTTGCCGATCCACCGTCGCTAACGTCGGCGAGCCGACTTCACGGAAACGACGGGACGCGTCCCTGGCGGCTTTCTGGGGGTGTCAAGAACCAAGTCCAAGGGACCAACTGTCTGCCTTGCATCACGCCATGACGGTAATTGCAGACCGCGGTCATCCCACAGAGGGAGGGTGGTAACCATCATGCGATGACCCGGATGACAGCCCTCGATTTCCTCTTTGGGTAGTCACGATCTTGGGCCGAGAGGATGGGGGGAATGCTTGGCTATGTACGTTGTTCCTGGGACCTGCGTGTACAAATGAGCTCGTCTACTATGTGCTCCTAGTGGCCCCTCTTTCGTGGACCTCCAAGCGGAAGCTTTCCTTCCTTCAACGGTAAACGGGAGTAGTGCGGCCGGCTTGTCGGGAAGCTTAGGGCCGCAACCTCATTTGACTTGGCCATGGCTTTGGAGAGTTGATTGATGGAATTTGGGGAGCTGTAGTCTTGACTCGTCTCATTTCCGGCGCGGAGTCACGATGGTCTTGCCCGGCTTCTTGATGTCGACCTTATTGTCAGTGTGCCTTGTGGCCCGATACTTTTTTTTAGGATGCCGGCGATCCGACGGTATGTTGATGGGGAAGAGGCACCCATTCATTTATAGCCCCGGCGTGAACCACGCCCTCGTCGATCTTGCTCCTTTTCTGTTCCATCCCCACAAGATCCTATATCACCTCCCGGTATAGATCCAGAGGTGACTTCACTGCCCGCCTCTCATCCATCGACAAGTCGTCCTTTAAAGACAAAAAGTCTTTAGCTCAGGATGAAGTACGCCAACTTCTTCCTGGCGGCCCTCGCGGCTCCGCTCCAGGCGGCTTTCACCTGGAAGAATGTCAAGATTGGCGGCGGTGGAGGATTCGTTCCTTCGATTCAATTCCATCCCACAACAAAGGGCGTAGCGTATGCTAGGACCGACATTGGTGGGCTGTATCGCCTCAATGCCGATGACTCGTGGACTCCGGTGACCGACGCCAACGGCTTTGCTGATGATTCTCACTGGAACCGGTGGGGTGTCGATGCTCTTGCGCTGGATCCCCAGGACCCGAACAAGGTCTTCATCGCCGTCGGCATGTATACCAACAGCTGGTATGTATATTGCATCGTTCTCAAGTGCTTGACTGTATTGACGTAGATCCTAGGGACCCAAATAATGGACAGATTGCCCGTAGCTCCGACAAGGGCGCGACCTGGTCCTTCACTGACCTGCCTTTCAAGGTGAGAGTTGCTTCCACTTTCATCAACCGCAAGCACTTACAACCGAATAGGTCGGAGGCAACATGCCTGGAAGAGGAAATGGCGAGCGTCTTGCAGTAGACCCTAAGAACTCTAACATCATCTACTTTGGGGCCCGAAGTGGTAATGGACTTTACAAGAGTACCAACGGAGGCAAGTCCATTCAAGAACATCTAGTTCGGTGCGCATATAATTGACGATCGATAACCTCTCAGGCACAAGCTTCTCCAAGGTCTCTTCCTTCACCGCAGTCGGCACTTTCCGTGCTGGACCTGCGGACAACGAGTACAGCGGCGACATCCAGGGTATCAACTTTGTGACTTTCGACTCAACTTCAGCCGCTCTCAGCGGGGCTACTTCAAGGATCTTTGTTGGCGTTGCCGAGAACACGACTTCATCCGTTTATGTCTCCAACGACGCCGGTTCAACTTGGTCCGCAGTTGCCGGCCAGCCTGGCAGATACTTCCCTCACAAGGGAAGGATTCAGCCCACAGAGAAGGTAGGTGATGAAATACTCCCCGAACGACTGACAGCCATTTAATGAGGGGAAATAGGCTCTCTACCTCACGTATTCGGACGGTACTGGTCCTTATGACGGTACTTCAGGTTCTGTTTGGAGATACGACCTCACTGCCAACACTTGGAAGGACATTACTCCTGTCGCGCCAGGCTCCGACCTGTACTTTGGTTTCGGTAAGTTCCTGTTCTTAATTTTTTCCTGACTCGTCAGGCCCATCAGCAAAGCCAGACCGTAAGAGCTCTCATGCTGATCTTATCAAGGTGGACTGGGTCTTGATATGCAAAAGCCCGGTACCCTGGTCGTTGCAACTCTTAACAGCTGGTGGCCGGATGCGCAACTGTTCAGATCAACCGATTCTGGGGCGACATGGAAGAAGATCTGGACGTGGGGTACCGACGGCAACCAGAACATCAGTTATGCTCAGACCAGCCCCAAGGTATGTGCAAAGTCGCTTGACTAAGATGTTTAAAATGCATGTGTCCGGAAGAGCTCTTGCGCTGACAAAGAGTAGGCTCCTTGGATCAAAACTAACTTCCTTGACGTTGACACCAAAGATTTGGGTTGGATGATTGAATCCCTTGAGATCGATCCCCTCGACTCAAATCACTGGCTTTGGGGAACTGGTCTGACCATTTTCGGTGGTCACGACCTTACCAACTGGGACACAGGCGCCAAGGTCAATATCCAGTCTCTCGCAGATGGAATCGAGGAGATGTCCATACAAGAACTCGCCAGTGCTCCCGGAGGCTCAGAGCTGTTGGTTGCTAACTACGACAACAACGGATTCACGTTCAAGGCCAAGAGCAACCTTGACACATCACCCCAGACCACCTGGACTACTCCCATGTGGGCTAGCTCCGTAGGCGTTGACTACGCTGGTAACAAGGTCGCCAACGTCGTTCGCGTCGGCAACACCGCAGGCACTCAGCAACTAGCTGTCAGTTCAGACGGCGGAGCCACTTGGAACATTAACTACGCCGCCGGCACGACGCAGTACGGCGGCACAGTCGCGTATTCTGCCGATGCCGACACGATTCTCTGGTCGACCGCAACTCTCGGGGTGCAGAGGAGCCAGAACCAAGGCTCTCTCGCTGTCGTCTCTAGCATACCAGCCGGCGCCATCATCGCCAGTGATAAGAAGAACAACACCGTCTTCTACGGTGCCTCCGGCTCAAGCTTCTACCGCTCCACTAATCTCGGCGCAACGTTCGCCACCTCCGGCTCCTTCGGTTCCGCCACCGGAATCCGCCACGTTGAAGCCCACCCGGCCAAGGCCGGCGACGTCTGGGTCTCGACCGACGTTGGAATCTTCCACAGCACCGACTACGGCGTCACATTCACCCAGGTCTCCACCGCCCTCACCAACACGAACAAGATCGCTCTCGGAAAGGGCTCCGGTACCAACTGGAACCTCTACGCCTTCGGCACCGGCTCCGCAGGCCGCAGACTCTATGGCAGCGCCGACCTCGGCGCCTCCTGGACGGACCTCCAGGGCACTCAGAGCTTTGGCGCAATCGACAGCGCCAAGCTTGCCGGCTCTGGCAACGAGGAGAACCTTGTCTACGTCGGCACCAACGGACGCGGTGCCTTTTACGCCTCTGGTGCTATTGCTTCTTCCGGTGGTGGCGCGACCACTGTCGTGCCGACATCGACTAGCAGGGCTTCGAGCTCCACGGCCGCTGTGACCTCCTCGACTTCCTCTGCTAGGTCTTCCACCTTGACTACTTCGACCACGGTCCGAACTTCGACCAGCTCCGCGCCCGCGGCTACGGCGACGAATCTGGCTCCGCAGTACGGGCAATGCGGAGGTCAAGGGTGGACTGGTCCGACGCAGTGCGTGTCGCCGTACACTTGCACCGTCGCGAATCAATGGTACTCCCAGTGCCTATGAACAGGCAAAGGAGGAGTTTCGTCATTAGTAGTGGACGGTTATGTAATACGAGGAGTGTAGAAAGTCACGATACAAATGATGGATGTTTTCTTTCTCTCGCTTGTAGGATGATTGACTATAGTGGTAATTCATTATTTCTATGAACTTTCGCACTGAACCTGTTTCTCACGTGGACCTAGCATGTCCATCTTATCAGACTTTGATCCCAAACAGGCTCTGCGGACGTGGATGCTGTATGGTCAACATACGACGGGCCTTTCAGAAACACCTTCAATCACTCTCTTAAGAAGCGGAGAAAGCTTCGTCCAATGAGAACTCCATCGTGAGCATCCGAGTACCTTGACATTGCGTCTTTGAAAGGTTCTTCGGGGATAATACCAGCCTGATGGCGGATCTGTAGCATCTCGCTCATCATGAAAGGGGAGAACTCAGGGTGGCCCTGCACTGTGATGAACCTCCGAGGGACATACAGGGCTTGGATTGGGCATTGCTTGGTGTGTGCTAATAATGTGACACCAGAAGGCAGGCCGAGAACTGCATCGCGATGTGTTTGATAGATGCTCTGATGATTACAATGCCTCATGGTCAGCATAGCTTGGGATCTAGGGATCTAGGGCAAAGGATTTCATCCACGTTCATGTTTGAGGGAGGGAATGAGCGTACCAGGCTCTCAGATCCAAAAACTTCTTTGCCCTCGTCTGTCAACTCCAGCTTCGTGACAGACAGCTCCCAACCTCCGGGAGACCGAGCAACCTGTGCACCAAGGGCGCGAGCAACGATCTGGTGCCCGAAGCAAACACCAATGACGCGAACACGACCCTCATCCAGGAGCCTCCGGATGAAAGCCGTCAGCCTCACAATCCATTCATCGTCCGCGTAAGCCGAATGCCGGGATCCCGTGATGAGCACGGCATCGACATCCTCAGGCTCGGGGTAAGCGACATCCACACCGTCTTCAGCCACCACGTTGTACGAAGTCAGCGCCAGCTGAGACTTCAGGGTTTGTGGTGGGTCAAGGCTTTCGCATGCATTTTTGAGAAGTGTCGTGAAGATGGTGTCGAAGTGGCCTAGCTTGGCCGATACGCTAGGCAGCGGCTCATCTGTAACGAGGATGGCCAGTCGGACCGGGTCAGGAGTCGGAATGGAGCCCATTGTATGCAGTGCTTACGATGGCCTAATGAAAAATGACTCGTCTTTGCAAGGAGGCTGAAGCGGCAAGAAGTGTGATATGGTCTTTCACGAGGGGAGACTTATGCGAGGAAGCGACACTGACTTATAAATCTGCTCGGCGTAACGAGATACCGGCACCCCCGAGGTGATACAAGTCGGCAGGCGTAAGGCTGTGCTGGCTCCACGATTCTGCCTCCAGCTGACACAATAGGCAGCATCACATCGCCTCGATCGTGGGGGCGCGAATTTATCACGTTTTCTCACAGGGATTCGTTAACGAATACGGGTCCCGGCCTATGCGAATGTCTTCCCAGGAGCTAGTTATGTGGCCGTTGCTGACTGAAGCTACCCCTCTATTTCTAATATTTGAATCATGCATAGTGACAGCCTAGAGCTTCATGGCTGTCTCGGTGTCATTTCTGTGTGAGTCTATCAATTTCCAGGTTTTCTTCGCCCAATGACCGCCGGGTCATCAACTCTCTGTGTCTTCGCTTGTCGTCTCCTCCAACGAAGTCTGGTTGCCAGATGCTGGCTCCTTAATCGTGATATACTGACTATGGGCCCTGATTCTGCTCCCGTACTTGTATAGCACCCATGGTACTGGCACCAGAACTACCGAGACAAAGCCTAGCAGACTGCTCGCCCATCCGATCCCCATGGAGGAGAACATCTGCACCGTGAACAGCGGAAACGCACCTCCACCCGCATATCTCAGAAGGCTGTTGGCACTGAGAGCACTCGCGCCATGCAACGAACCATAGGAGTTCATGATGTACAGCGCGCCGCTGCTATAGACCATAATATTGCCCACGGCAAACGGCACAGACGCAATGACTGGACTGAGCCAGTAGACACCCTTGTCGGCTGTCCATCCGAACCAGAACAGGCTGGCCGGATTGAGCGCGCATCCGACCATGGCACCGTAGAGGCGATACTCTGGGGGCACCGCGCCGACTCCGTATTTCGCCTCCAGCGCTGGGTAGGTCTTGCGGTCGATGTAGACCACAGCCAAGAAGCCGATGACGCAGCCTAGCGCGATAGAGATGAAAGTGAGACCCTGCTGCCCTGGGGTGAAGCCGTAGTGGCCCCCGAAAACGTAGGGAAAGGCTGCAAAAAAGCTGTAAAAGACAGCGAAGTTGAATGCCATATAGATGGTCATGAAGAGCACGATGGACTCGACAAAGAGCATCTTGAAAGGTTTGAGGACGATTCGTTGAATGATTGCACTCGAAGGGAGAGCGACCTTGGGCGAATGAGCTTGAGGCGCATTAGACTGCTTCTCAGCACGCATACGTTTCTGAAGGATAGTCTTTTTGTATGTCTCGAATTGTGGAAGGGCATAGATGTAGTTGAAGGCCACCATGAAGAGGACAACCCATTCGAGCCACCGAAAGTCCTTCTCCTCAGCCAAAAAGCCCCCGATCACAGGCCCTAGACTTGACCGTTAAAAGACAATCTCATAAGAGAGCAGCGGGATAAGTTCTTACCAAAAGCCGGTCCGAGGAATGGAGACACGAAGTAGAAAGGATAGACGAATCCCGCCAGTGCGGGTGGCCATAGATCAGCGTTCGTCCCGCCACCGACGGAAACAACGGCACTGCCAAAGAAGCCGGCGAAGAAGCGACACACAATCAGTGTCGTGAAGTTCTGTGCCAGTCCCGAGCCCAGGATGAAAAGTCCAAAGACTGGGACTGTGCTGAGATAGACGATCCTGCGGCCATAGTATTCACTCACGGGTGCGGCTATGATGGCACCAAGACCGAGGGCCCAGAGGAAGAGGGAAAGGCCGAGGAGAGACGCAGTATGTGACACTCCAAACTTTTCCGACACATCGTTGGCGCCAGAGGTGTAGACGGAAGAGGCGAATGACCTGAGCGAGTAGGGTTTAGCCAGAGCCTTCAAGTTGTCTTCAGAAAGGGTTGCGCTTACACGTTAACACAAAGAAAAGCTGGAATACTGGTGCTGTAGATGCGCTTCCACAATGGCCAGTTGTATGGACAGTCTGGGTCATCTGGTCCCCTCCAGTCGGGCGGGTCAACTTCTTGTGGATTTGCCATGCTGGTGGGCAGGCGGGCAATTGTGGGAATCCTTGTCTGGGCCAGATAATTAGCAAGGACTTGGCGATCTATGGCCTCGATTCGAGTTCCTGGATGAATGTTGTAGGCCGACAAGAGAGGGGAAGACGAGATACTTCTCAAAGACACTTCCAATAGCGGGAAAAGGCTTTGCTTGGTGCAAGAGTAGCTTAAAGCAGAAATAGCAAAATTTTCACCTCGACGCGATGGAAGGTAACGGCCCCTGACTCTGACGATAACCTCCCCCCAGACCAACCTCACCAATGAGAGAGAGTCAACGAAAGTCGCCCTTAGAAGGTAGGACACCAGGATTTTACACAAAAAGTAAGCAAAAAGAGGCGACCAGCCCCCGCGAAGCCGCAAGGTCTGCGAAGTAGGGGTCGGCCCGTCACGTCACTAACGGTGTGCATTAGCTCGCCGGCCAGGCTAGGTCGCGTATCCTGTCAGATATAAGGCGCAATCTCACGAGATCCATCCGGAATGCCGTATGCGGCATCAATTCGCAAAGCGGCCAATGGAACCACCCACGTGAAGCGGCGAAGCCAGTAAGCAACCAGAAACTTGTACGTAATGACATACCTAAAGTAGAACACTTCGTCAACCTTGTTGAACCATCCTCAACCTCTATGTCTGCACTTTTCTGAGTTTCTGTCGAAGTTCACCTGCACAGACAGTAAGCTGAACCCTTGTTCGCAAACGCCCCACTGTACTGCTTGGCAAAAGACCCTTGAGTCGATTCCATGAACACCGGCCCCATCTTCCGGGCGGGCGTGGTGACTTCCCACCTCCCTCTTGCAGCTGGATCCCCGGAGCCCCGCCGGGGAACCTTTTGTGTTCTGGAGCCTCGCTCAGAGGCAATTGGACATTTGGTTTGCCAACCTTGAGAACTATGCATCTTCGCCATGGACGTCTGATCGTGTTTCTGCCCTACGGATGTCTTGAAAATTCTGCCGCAGTAAGGCGAATTACAAATGAGGGGAATGTTTTGTATCCCCTTGATCCACTATACCTATTTCGACGTCGTCTAGGCAGCAACAAGCAGTCCACACAAGAGCCCTTGTCGGTTGTTCGGAGGGTTTATGGCTAGTCCTAGAGGCTAGACTCCGACACAGCATCGAATTGCCCCGAACGATTGACAATGACTATAGGTGCTAGTAAGGCATAGTTCTGTTACACGCGCACCAAGCCTCGGTAGGACTTCAACGTACGTCAAGCATGTCTCAATTCGATTCATTAGTTACAGCAGTCCGGCTGAACGAGCAGCTGACGGAGGTGACGGTTCAGGAAGAGCGGTTGGATTCTTCTAGCTAACTTTGACTCGGCCACAAATGATAATCGTCGAGTCGCAGTCACTCAAGTCCCGAGACTTGATTCGTCAGGCCGAGCGGCAAGTCGGTGGAAATCCGCCGCAGTACACAACATCTGGAAGGGGCCATAAGAGCATCTCACGACATGTCTTGGGATTCCTTGCCGCGAGTTCAGGGTGGCACCGTACATCTGCATGTGCTTTGACTGCGGTGCTGCAGTCATCTCAAGGGTGATGCGAAAATTTGACGAGACGACCTGTCCCCCACGTCGTGCATCTACGGCCTCCTCTCGCCCTAGGCACCCAAGTCGTGATCCGGAACGTGTTGGGAAGCTTCGAAGAGTTCTCCCGGCGATTTTCTGTGGCAAGGCTGTCTGCCGTAGTTGCTTCGTGGACTTTCTATAAGAAGGTAGGTCCGGATGCCAGTGCTTGGGTTCTGCTGAATCAAGCAAGTCAGTCGAGTACGAACCTTTCTCCTTCCTTTCTTTGACTCTTTTCTTCCGGCTGCTTTCGTTTGGAGAGAAGGCAAAAATCATCATGCGGTTTCTTGTTACCACAAACATCATTTCCACTCGTGGCGGGACAAAAAAGTCGACTTACATCAGCTTACACGATCCCCAGTCTGATCTTTCCGCCCCTTTGTCCAACCACAATGAGGTGGATGTATGGATCTGCAACGGCCCAGAAGTCACTGGTGATCTGATGGACCAGTGGTTGGAGCAGTCTAGCCATAGCCCCAAGTCCTTGCTCGTGAGAGACGTTGAAGCTATCACTCGTTTGAGACACCATGCTAGGGACCGCCTATTCCACATCGCCGCCTTCCCTGAGCACGTGGATGGCCTCTCAAAGAAGGATTGGGAAGAAGCTGTCCTTTGTGAAGCAGAGATGCTTTACTCCAGGGCCCGTGCCGAAGCTGATACTCAACGTGTCAACGCCAACATCGAGACCAAGGGGCCTTCCCCTAGTGAAACCAACGTTTTGCTCATCGGCGCCGGCATTATGAACCTTATTGCCGCCCATCTCCTTGCCCGGCGCGGTTACAAAGTTCGCGTCGTCGACCAAGGTCCCGACCCTCGGGCTTGCCAGCTCAAAGACTGGACCGCGCTGGGAGTCACGAGCGGCGGCCACAATGCCCGCATGTTCACAAACACCGAGGCGGACAACTACAACGAGCAGGACAGCGAGATCTACCAAGACATGCAGTCTATCTTCCGTAAGACCGTTCGTGGAGGTGGATGGAGTGTTAAGTCTCCTGAGGATTTCAACGCCGCAGAGAATGAATGGGTCAGCGCTTTCGAGCGTGTTCCAGGCTGGATGGCGGCACACTTCAAGAAAAACATTCACGAGGTCAACGTTGAATCCGGAAAGCTCTGGAGGGAGCTGATGAAGAACGAGCCTCAGCTCTTCGAGGATGTCGGGCTTCACGAAGACATCATACGCCTGTACGTCGAGGATGTGGCCTTGGAAGCATCGGTTGGGCTCAACCAAAACCTTGGGGCTCTTCTGGAGGCACCATCTACCCAAAAGTTCTTGGAGACATATCCTGTCTTCCGCCCGGCTGCTGCAGCAGATCATCTTGCTGGAGGCATTATTGTGGACGG